CTGTTGCCACTGTTGCCATTTTTATTGAGGTCTTAATCCCTCATCGTTGTTTAGCATGATGCCATCGTTACGATTGAGGGATTTTCCACGAAACATAGTTGCTCTTTTCTCTCATTCTCTTCGAGTCTGGTTCCACCCTGAAAAAAATTTGATATTTTAGTGTTTTTACAAATCAGAGGTTTGCAAATAGCCAAGTTTGATAGCTCTTGGCAGTAACTTAATGTGTTGAAAATCAATGGATTGTTATATGCCTTCGACAAGATTAAATCTGCCATTAAAAAGTTTGGGTGGTGCTTTTCTGCATCCGCGACGGCCTAATGCTCTCGCTTGATGAACCTCCTATCGAAAATTTTCTACCGTTTTCGAGTAGCCTAACCAGTGGAAGTGATGAGTTAACCATTTGTTTACCTATTTGCTATCCTCGTTATTGGAAATCATTTCATTTCGATTCTTTTGAATTTGTGAAAATTTGCTTAGGAAGCAGTAATTAATTACATTTTTTATATTTCTTGTTTTTAATTTTTTAAAATATTTTTAACAAATTGTTGTCTCCTTTAGTTGTAAAATTTGAAAAGGACATTAAGTGTTATTTACCACTTTCCGATGAAACTCGATTCAATTACATTTTATTCCCAAACAAAATTGTTTTGTTGTAAAATATTTGTGATAAAATATTAATTTTATTAAAAAATTGTTCCCTGTGTTATCAAAATTGAAATATTCGTCCCGAAATGTGCTGCAAATGCATCTGTATATGAATACTTTTATTAAGTAATTCTCTGCAAAGGCGTCTGACTATAAGTCTAAACCAGAATCGGTGAGCGCTATCAGAGGAAATATTGTTTTTGATCATTTACAGCTCATTGCTCCTCTATTATCCAATGCATAAATATTTGATAAATTGAAGATCGAATTCGTTATCATCCAACAGTAATCAGCATTTCTGGTTCGATTGACCATTAGGATTTTCATCCTTTCACTTAAAGGATAGAAATTTAGGATAAAAAAGGTGAATCCGCAACACTACCTGAATTCCACTTTTAATGACAGTTTTACCTCCATCAAGTAATGGGAATGTGATAATTATTTAACAGTGGTCGAAAAATATACCACTCGAGTATTTTTTGAAAAAGTATTATAAAAAAGTGCTGTAAAATAGTGGCACGAATAATGTGAAATGACTAAGTTTAACCTTGAAACGAGTTTCCAAAATTAGTTAAAAAAATTGGCAATTTGTTTTGAGTGGGTCGATATGTGTTTTCTAAAAATATATTCTATTTAATCTAATAGCGTTCAAAAAATTGAATTTGAAAGAGAAAAACAAAAAAAAAGCCGAAATAAGCCATTTTTTAGTTCATCGTTATAAAATTTTGATTATTTTAATTTTAAATTTACAGCCATTATTTATGCATACTGTGGGAGTCGAGTGATCTTTTGCCTCGTCTAAGATTTCAGCTATCCACTAGTGATTCTTTGTGCGAAGGAGTATCATCCTAATGGCCAGTGAAGCAAGCCAAATCAGAAATCAGAAGTGAGTGCTATATCAGAATATGGAGAAACATGTTCGGATATTCGAATGAAAAATACCTTTCTTTTTTTGCCTATCGGCTTATTAATTAAGTTATTTTGACAAGTTCAAGTTTATAATATTTTAAAATTTAATATAATTTTATAATATAATTCTCTTCTGAGAGCATTCACCATTTCTGGCTTGGCTTTTTGCAGTTAATGTGAGATTTCTTTGTCAAAGAATTATTTAATATAGAAGTGGAGATGGGCCTATGGAACCATATGCATTCGACAGAAATATTTATTCTTTTCGCAAGAGCAATGCTTTGTTAATAATTAATTCTAATAATAACTGAATAATTCAGTTTCATGAAGATTTTGATTATTCATATTTTACATGTTTCAACAGAACTAATTATGAAGAAACCTATTATAATATAATCGATTGAAACAGGTTTTTTTGCTTAACATTCATTGGTACTCAAAATTTACTGAGAAATGAAATTATCGTTGTTTCACTTTATAACCTACATCTACAAATTCGAATTTTTAATAGAGAGTTCCTAAATATTCACCAAAAAGTGATACCAATTAAGTTTCTCCGATAATTTTACTGCATAAAGCGACATTTGCTAATGAATTTCATTTTTCTTCCTTCCTTTTTTCCTTGATCCCTAATTCCAAATGTTCATTTTTTTGACCATAATTTACTAAAAAATATCTCTACATTCCCTTTTACGCTTACGCTTATGCAATATGGTTATCAGCAGTTTATATCTACTTATCCCGCATGTCTAACCCATTCATGTTCTTTCTTTCACTTTATGTGCTACTTCATGGTTGTCCTTTTTTATCACCAACAGATAACTTCTACTGCCAGTTTAGCGTAAAAATTATCAGATGGCTTCTAAAGGAGAAAATTTGCATTGTACCTTTCATTTCTTTTTAAAAATCTTTTATGTGAAAATTTCTTGTTTATATTAAATCTTTATAAATCTTTTTTTAAATGAAATTTTTAATAAAATTTCTCGTTTCATTTTGGTGGATTTACAGAAAAATTATGGTGATTTTATCGCCTAATTTGCATATAATTTAGATGAAAAATAAAAATACAATAAAAATCAAATAAAAAATGAAAAACTGTGAACCAGTCACATAAATTGCCAAATATGTGTAAAACTAAACTAAGGACTCATTATTTCTTTATTCGTGCTATTAATTATTGGAATAAATTACCGAACGATATTGCTTGTGCGTCATCTCTAGCTATCTTTAAAAAAAGATTAGATAATATCATTTATGATAAAACATCATGGAGGAAGTTTGAATTCTCAATTTTTACCATCCGATTATGTATTACACAGTTTCTCCGAATTGTGCTGTCTTATGCCATTTTTCTCTTTATTTCCTCCTTTATTAATTTTTGTCATATTTTCTTTTTTTATCGTTAATTTTCATTGTTCGTTTTTTTTAACTGTTGTTATTAATCAAACAGATGGCATTTATCGCCCTGCTTGGCTGGTTTTCAATAAATAAATAAATGCAATTGAGATGGGAATTTGCGACAAAGGAACTACAGGTTCTGGTTTCACTAGCACCAACCCCCTTATCAATAACCAACGATAACCAACATGTTTCTCCAAAAAATTCGCAAAAATCCGCAACTTTCGTCGAAAATTTATAGTCTGAAGCTGACTTTTAGGATCGGCAGTAAACTTTGTCGAATGAATTTTATTTTCATTTTTGGCTAAAGAATTTAGGTTGGTTTGCTTGGTTTGCTTAATTTTTAGTGATTTATTCGAGTCGTTTATCGTGGTGGCTTTTTTTTTTCGTTTTCTTTATCTTTGATTTCGTTCTTATGTAACTCTTATATCGGAAAATAATATTGAATTCATTCCTAAGAACAATGCAAGTCGAAGAAAGCACTGAGAAGAGACTCTAAAAATAAAAGGAAAAAGCGACCGCTCGCGATTTCACTTCGGTGAACGCTGAGTTAGTCGAGTTTGTCGCTCATTTATATAGAGTATTGTATATGATCAATATTTCAATAAATTAATATGTTTTATTAAAATATAAATTGGCCGGAAAGGCATTTGACGATGCTAAGAAGTGAGAGATGGCCATTAAATAGCACGGCGATGCGAGAGAATGGAGAGATGGAAGCGTGCAAAAAAGGAATATTTTCGCCGTATCACAAATGGTGGAAGGTCTAAAAATATTCTGAAATATAAAAAATAGATAGATAATAGATGGATAATAAGAATTTTTTTAAAAATCAAGTAAAACTTTTAACATCATTTTATGTAATTTATTTATTATTAATTAATTGATTTTTTGCAATTTTTTTAAGGAGCACTCACCATTACTGATTAGACTCATTCGCTGGCTTATCGGATTAGACAGATATGCCAGTCCCTTGACAATAGAAATATAGGCGAGTCGCCAGCATCACCCGCATTTTTGAAGATTTAGTCCTGCGGAGAATAGAACCTCAGCATCGATACCGAACTGAATAACAATGCACTGAGACAATCTATTCTCATTTTTTTTTCTCCGTTAAGCGGCACTTCCGCCCGACAAAGAGTGCTGCGTCGGCGGATTCGAACTCGTTTCTCGGTGCCATTAACCCACCGATAGTTTCTTTCAAAATGTAAAACTTAAAAAAAATTCATATGCAAGTAGGGGAAATTTAGTTTAATTTATTTTTATTTTTATATTTATTAAAGAATTTTATATTTTATATTTTTTATAATATCTTGTAGAGAGGCAAGGATTCGGATCCTCCCCTCGTAAAGAGCAATTTTATTATTATAAAATTTGGGTGATGCTGGCGACGCACGTGTATTTCTATTGCCTCTCTCTGGTGACTCTCTAGCGATAATTTTTAATTTAATTTTTAATTCTTCTAATAGCGAACTGAACTAGGAACTGGAAATGGTGAGAGTTTTTATTTTGTAGGTTTGAACTTCAAATCTTATTTTTTCCCTGATTTATGGCCACTATTTTTAAAAATTTTAGAAAATAATTAAATTTAAATTATTGAAATTATTTTTTTTTAAATTTCCATATTGTATTGGTTCCGTATTGTATTGTAGTAAAGCTTACATTCCAATGTAAAGTTATTTTTTTCCCACACGAAAGAATTAATGAATTCTTAGGAAACGGTCAAAATCTGAAAATTTGTTGCTAACGTGGCTAACTTGTTAAATTTTCTATTAAAGCATCTCCGTCGAGTTTCGCCGATTTGCAAAAATTCTCGGAAAACGAAAATGATTGAAATTAGTATTACAAGAATTGTGGCGGATTTTATTATTTTGTCGTTGTGTGGTTAGTTTTTTTTTCCTTTTTTCGAAAAATTTTTTGTCAAGGTTACAGAATGTGAGTTGGTCAGGTGCAGACTCCATTTTTATCATTTCACTTTCTGCTAAGTTTACCTTAGACTAAGGTTTGTAATCAGAATATCATTAAAGGATAGAAGTTTTTCAGCTCTGATGATGAGGCTCATTTTTATCAAGGGTTAGCTTCAGCTCATGATCAAAATAGTGTCTATTTTCATAGGTTCAGAATAATAGATCGGTGAAAGAGAAATTGGGAAAAGACCAAGGGGAAAGGTAAACTGCAATTTCAAGTAATTCGCATTTTTTGTTCTTTTTCATTCTAATAATCGCCTTATATTTCTATAATTTATAATCTGCCTTTCAGGCCTTCCTAACAATAATATATATTTTATATATTTTAGTTGCAAATTTTCATTTTATTATTCTTCTGAATTAACTTACTTTTCTTTTTTGAACAGAACCATTGAAAACAGATCTTCATGGCAATTATTGTCTTGGGAATAGAATGGTTCAGTAAGTTGTTGCTCAATTTGCAGCACCAATGCTAAGGTACTCCCGTAGGAGTAAACCTGTGCAAATATCCGGGTAATGCTGGCATCCCTATATTTCTATCGCTAAGGGATTCCCTGGCATATTGCCCAATACGACAAGCCAGTGGAGCGATTTTAACCAGTAATAGTACTCTTCAAAAAAAAAGGCTATTATAAGATAGTCAAAAAATATATAAATTGTATAATGGAATATGAAATTTCAAACAATATTTACATTAAAATATTTATTTTCATTCTTCTTTCATTTTAAAATTATAATTAAATTTTATTATTTCAGGTATTCCGCTGATAATATTTCATTATTGGGCGAAACCATATAAACGTGGATTTTATTGCGATGATGAATCGATTCGTTATCCCTACCGTGATTCAACTGTTCCTAGACAAATGCTTATTGTTATTGGACTTTTTATTCCTATAGCTTTAGTAAGTTTTTTAATTTTAATTTTAATTCTTTATTGGTTTGTTAAGTTCATTTTATTCTATAGAATGGATTTTGCTCTTTTTAGATTTTAGCAACAGAAATTTTTCGAGCTAAAGCATGGGAAAAGAAATGCTCGCACCAGTTTAATACTTATCGATGTCGAAAATTCACCATTCATCGATTAATTGTTCGGTTATACGTTTTTGTTGGTAAACATTTTTGCATATAAATTTAGCGAATTTCTTGATTCTTTTATTATCTTTTTGTTTTGGAATACTTAACATATTTCTTCGAAAATTTCTTGCTTTTTATTTTGATTTTTTTCTTTGTTATTGTGTAGAAAGTTAATAATTACACTGTGCTTTAAGTCTAAATTCCAAGTCTGGTAAATTGTTACTTCAAGTCCTTTTGGATTATTTCCATGCTTTTTTAGGTTATTTTCTTCTTGGTGTTATTTTTAATCAGTTGATGGTTGATATCGCTAAATACACCATTGGACGCCACCGCCCCCATTTTATTGATGTTTGCAAGCCAAAGGTAACAACCATTTACAAATAACCATTCATTTTCAAGTTGAAAGATATCGAGAATCCTATAGATTATCAGTTTTCATGGCTAAATAATGATAATATTAACTCTGAAGCAATTTTTTTGAAACAGTTTGCTTATTTTATTTTATTTTGAATTTAAAAAAAATTTTTGTAAATTTACCAAAACCAGAAAACCAAGAGGTATATTTTTAATGAAAATGAAATATAATTTAGCAATTTTTATTTTTTTGCTGATAAATTTATATTTTTAATTTTAATTTTTAATTTTATTTATAGATAGATCCAACCTTAGATATTAAATGGAATGAAAAAACCCAATGAAAATAGGCACGCCATTAGATAGAATTCTGTAATGACTTACTGATTCATTACTGATGGATTTGAGATTTGTAGGGTATTTGAATTTTTTTTAGAATATTTCTTTCAACAAGTCTCACCATTACTAGTTCTAGCCGCTAGTCGCACCAAGCCACTCGATGCTTGGTATTAAAAGAAGTCTAAGCCCATGTATCGCTGGCCTATACGTTCAAAGTCTTTTCTATATTTATTATCTGTATTTGTGTAGGTCTTGGTTGGTCCTGCTGGATTTTAACGTTATCCAACATGGTATTTAGCAAATTGCAAGATATAAGTTAATTTAATATAAGTTAATTTGGCGGCAAAGATATGACCTAACTAGTGTAAGCTGCGTTATGTGGCGATATTTTGAATGCGGATAATTGAGTAAGGAAATTTTATGGATAATTTTGTGTCTTCATATGCAGTTTATCTCGTCTTTTAAATCCCTACGTAAATTGTGCCTTAGGTATAAGTTATCAAAGGTAGATACCTTCTTAATATTTTCCACTCTCATTAACCATATTTCATATATTACAGAATGGTGTATCGCAGCTAGACGAACTTTATGGTGATTTCCCAGTGATTTCGCAGAGGTTTCACCAGATGAAAGAGCGCAACACATCCGGATTACATTTTTAGTTTCATTTTTGGTATAAGAATGGATCCAAAATCACTGATTAGCACCTGTCATCTGATGAAACCTCTTTTGCATTCCTTTATATTTGACAAAAAGGACTATATCATTAGCGTATTCAAAATCTACAATACTATACTATGGAACCTCCCCAAAAATCTAGGTAATGCTCAACTGTATTTCTATTGCCAAAGGACTCTCTGGCATATTTGTCCAATGCGATAAGCTAGTGGAGCGAGTTTAACCATTAATAGTAAAAACTTTTTTTAAAAAAAGTTTACTATACTGTGGACTATGTACCTTTTGAATGGTACCTAAGCGATATCCATAATCCAATCTATAACGTAGCTAAATGTAGGAGAAAGAACGCAGTCTTGATTTCAGTTTTTATTACGAAAGGATCTGTCAAATTCCCATGTACTCAGATTGTGCCGATGTACGCTGGTAAAATACCTTAATGAGTCGAATCTTCACTAGGTGAGGGAGTTATGATTGGTTTAAGCTGGAATATTTTCCTATTATCTTACTATCATCTTGTTCTAGCAGGCATCTCTATGATTAAGGCCATATTAGTCCAATAACCGTTTCTATCCCGCCGTTGTTGTTCCATACTTTAAAGCATCTGGTAGCTAGGATCTTACATTCGTGATTTTATAAATTTTTCGGGCACTTTTGGACACTTTCTTTCTTCTTCGAATATTAAAACTTTTTTTCTTTTTTCTAACAACTCTCACCATTACTGGTTAGGCTGGCCCCAACGGTTACAAGGGTAAGATGCTTCCAAGCGGCGCGGTTTGGTGCTATCGTCGACTGTAATAGAAGCCATTCCTTCTTCCATCGTCCAAGTCCATATATTGCTGGTTCATCTATACGTCAAAATCTTTTCTAATCATATCAGTCCTGGTCGTGATTTCTCCACTTCGCTTTTGACGCCAACCATCACATGGTTTAGCAAATAACGAAATATGTGTAAACTCCTGTGGTGAACGATGGAGAACGTGCCTTAACAAATGAAGGCGACGCTCTGTGATAACATTATTTATGCAAGTGGTATTTTAATGAAAATGGATGCGATCATGTGATATTTTATCAGCTCGACGGATCCGTAATATATACCTTAGACAATAATGGTCAAAAGCACACAACTTCTTAATATCCTCTACTCTCATCTACTCTCATCTCAGAACCATATAGCAAGATTGAACGGACCATGGCTATATAGATGTATGCGGACTTTGGTTTTTATGGTGATTTCACGACGACTCCATCCATAAAAGTTTTGTCAACCGGAAGAACGCATTTCTGTGAGCGTTTTTAAGATCTGTGGTTATTAATTTAAACTTTAATTCAATGGATAAAAATGGATGTCTATAAATGCTATAAAATCGCCGATTACTAATAAAATTTTTTTAAATTTACCTTCAACTTACTAAGTACAACGCACGCAATTCAAAATGAATCTAAATTTGCGTAGAATCTGCAGAATTCATTTACGATGATACGATGCTCTGGACTGATTTGGACACCTCTTGAGTGCCGATAAACAATGTCCATTATCCATTCTCTCGCATAATTGAATTGTAGGGGAAAGGACGCAGCCCTGAGGAACACCAGTTCTTATTTCGAAGGAATCTGTTAGCTCCCCATACTTCTGCCAGAGTAATATGCCTTTATGAATCGAATGATCTTCTCGTAGGCACCGTCACATTCCATCACTTTCCAGAGCGCTGCTTTATCAATTAAATCAAAGACAGCCGCAAAATCGATAAAACACGTGACAGTGGGTTGCAAATATCTGAAGCGATGTAAACACCCTTCCTAACGTGAATATCTGATCAGCGCAACTGCACCCTGGCCTGCAGCCGGCTTGATTAGGGCCTGCTGTCCCGTATTTCCATAAGTCTGTTATAGCAGGGAAGCAAAAATTTTCGCTGAGACATCTAGTAGACTGATTCCCCGATGAGTGTCGCAGTATATCCTATCACCTTTCTTGAGAATTGGGAGTAGAATTTCTTTGCTCCAATCATCTGGTAATATCTCTTTTTTCCATAACAGAGAGTACATTTGTTGAAGGTTATGAAAACTTTTAAAGTAGATCGAATCGTAAAACTTATTTATTTATTGTTTGGAATGGGGATTTGACCACTCTATTGTTTTCATATTTGTACCTCTTAAACTTTTTCTAAAAAATTTGAAACTTGAACTTCTAAACTTAAGATATGCAAAATATTCCAAGATTTTGAATTTATTTAAATTTAAAGCTAGAAAGCAAATTCTAATTTTAAAAATATTCCCACTTTTTTTTGCCGTTTTTAAAAAAAAATTCTCTCGTAGGATTCCACTTTTAATTTGATATTTTCATATTTAGTTCTAGTAATTTGTTTTAAATATCATATATTATAATATATTAAATAATATTTTAAATTATTTTTTAGTCCTTTGGATTAAGGTTGTTTTTTAAGGGATTTGATCAGTGTCCAATAAATTCTCATAAATACATTACTGATTTCGAATGCACTGGAACAGAGAAAAGACTCATTCATGAGTCAATGTTATCTTTTTATTCTGGACATTCAGCATTCAGCTTTTATGTGGCATGTTTTACTTCAGTTAGTTTTTGAATTATTTTTCTTCAAATGAATTTAAAAAAATGAATTTTTTCTCCTCGTTAAGAATATAAATGAGAAGAAGTAAATTCCTTCATTGTTTAATGGGAAGGAAGATTTTTTGATGTAGCACCCTCATAGTCGATGGTCTCATCTAACCTTGAAATAATAAGTAGGGAGAAGTTAAGTTTTTCTTGAATTTCCATAATTCTAACTCAAAAATCGAATTGTTTCTCTATTATAAGTCACTCATAGTGTTTGTTTTTTATTTGTATTTGGAGGTATTTTTTTAGCTTTATTTACAAGCTCGGCTATATAAACCAGTCTTTAGTCGATTATTTCTTCCTGTCGTTCAGTTTGCTTTGTTCGGTTGTGCAGCTTTTGTAGCATATACGAGAGTTAGTAATTATAAACATCACTGGTCGGATGTTTTAATTGGATGTTTCGTTGGATCCATAATTGGTATCATTGTGGTAAGTAAAACCATATTTTGAATTATTTTATTATTTATCATTATATTTATCATCATTTTCTTATATTTATCACTATTCTTATTCTGCTGATTAGGATAAAAAGGGCATTACCATTTTTTGGCAAATTTGCATAACTAAAAACTTGTGAGAATGAAAGTATAGGAATAGAAAATATTCTCATATAATTAAAATAATCAGCCTTTATTCAGAATTACTTAGAATTTTCTTCAAAAGGTAGTTAGTAAATATATTTATTTAACGACTGATTTTAGGCTGTATTTGTTGCTGAAGTGTTTAATCGTCGTGAGATTCCACTCTGCGATGAAAATCGACGACAAGAACCATTCGGCTTGATACCTTCTACGAAAGCACCAACTGCAGATGTTGAAAGTGGATTACACCCTATCGACGATAATGGTAGGCCTATTAATGCGGCACGTACTATAATGGTAACACAGGAATATTCATCAAATCATCCTCACCAAATCGATAGTCAACCACTTCAGAGCCAAAATGTGTAAGCATTTGTGTTTATTTATTGTGTTTGTTTTTCAGCGAAAATTCTGCAGTTAAATAGTAATAATTTATTCATCAAAATTTGTTTTTTCGTTTTAACTTTAATGTTTATTCGTCGGATTTTTACCTAAGAAAAAGTCAAATTTGCAATCGACTTCGTTGCTACGAGCGTTATTAGATCTTTGCCATTTTGTTTCAAGTTTATTCGCTTTTAACGCTTTCTTTTGTTGGTTTACCTTGTTTTTTCTAATGCATGGCACGATTAAAGCTTATGGCAAATTTAATTTAACTATTGGTCATTTTTTGATGGTTATTTCTTCGTGGATGATGTTCAACAATTATCTTCAGGGGTTTGAGAGGATAAGAGATTCTCACAAATCATATATATGCATGATATATCTTATGTAAATATTGGATATAAATATGAATAATCAAATAAATATAGTCTTCCTTTTCTATAGTGAATTTTCTACGAAGTCTTTAAAAAGTCGCAGATTACTGATGTTATATATTATATAATAATATAACTTTGTTTCTTGATGAAAATTTACTCAGTAGTTCAGTAATGAAACGAAAAGTATTACTTGAAGAATATTTGCGACATACTGGACGAATTTCACTGAGTATATGATATAGCCACTGCAACAAGTAATATAAACGAAATGTGTTCGAAGGCAGTGAATATGAGGATCGAAAATCAATTTAAAGGAAATGAAATCGCTAAAAATCAAAATAGGAAAAGAGTGTTCTTATATCTTCAAGCTTTGTGGAAATTCAGTTGTTTGGATTCCATACCAATTTATTGAAGAGCCCGCGATTCAAAAAGTTGGGATAAAGAGTGAATGCAAGAATGCAAGATTCTAGAAAGCAAAATTGGTGAACCAGTTTGCAAGTAGCAAAAAATTACAGAAAGCGATGGTAACACTAATTTTTTTGATATTTTCAAATTTTTGGTGAAAATGGGATTTATTTTGTGCAGTGTTAAAAATAGGATTAGCTATGGGGTAAGCATTTCTTTGCACGCGTTCAAATTAATAATTTGTCGAATTTTTTCATTTAACTTTGTTTTTTTATATGGGAGAATGATTGAATTTAATTTTTATTTTTCATTTTTGCTTTTAAACCAGTCTGTTTAATCAGATTTGGTCAAGAATGACTATAAATTATCATCCAGTTGGTGCTGAGTGCTGAGTAATTTAAGGTTTCACTTGAAATTTCGAGATTTAGAGATTGAATCATTGGTGGAACAGATTTTTTTTCTGTTGAATTTTATACGGTTTTTGATTTTTTGATTTATACGGTTTTAAATTTTTCCTTTTTTAAGGCTTTTTTCTTTTATTTTAAAATCTTTTATTTTAAAATTCATTTTTCTTGGCAGAATTTTTGTAATATTATTGTGTTGATGATAAAATTATTGAAGAAGTTGCACATTTAAATTTATATTTAATTGGATTAATAAAAATTAGCATATCATTTGATATAGTGTTAGTGATATCGATTGTAAGCGGAACCGGTCTCCTTATTTTATCTTCATATATATATTTTTCTTAGTCAGTCATTAACCTCAGTCATTAACCTTGTTTATCGATTAATTCCTTATAATTTCGATTGGTTGTGGTTTTTTCTTGGTTTTTTTTTTTGTAATTTTAGACCTTTTCAGATATCGATAAGAAAATCAGTGAACAATTTGCATTTCTTTTGTTTTAGGGTGATCGGTAACTTTTATCAGTAAAGAAATTTATATTCATATTTAAGTATTTTTTATTATAACAAAACATTAACAAAAAAGCATCGTGAAAAATTTTATAAAAAAGGCACCTAATAGCTTCGCTCACCAATCGTAAATATTTTTAAAAAGTAAAAGTTCATTAGTTCATTCGTGAATCTTTCTAATTATGAATTCAAGTTTTTGGCTTTTCTAATGCTACTATTCGGAGCGAATGATCGTACCAGAAGTGCTGAGATTGGTGAAATGACTGGAATGACTTCTTAATGACTTCTTTTGTATGCTTGCTTCGGTTAAAACGATTTTCTCAATATTTACTTATCCTTACTTCTTTTGATTCTCTTGATTGCATTTCTGTTTTCTTTGTTTTCACATATCCTTTTACTGTTTATTTTTACATTTTAGTTCATTTTTTATAAATATTGAGTTTTCAGGAAAAGGTTTATACGTTGTTTTGTTAAATAATTATTTTAGTTTAATTATTGATGGAAAGCTAAACTACAGAAGCGAACTTCGCATAAGTCCCGCTCTTATTTTTCGATTATACTCGACGTTTAGTAATTGAATAATTTAATCAAATTTTAGTTCATTTTATGTATTATTCTTATTTCTTTTTAGCTAACCAGTGGATTATATGAAATATTAATTAAATTGAAATTAAATCCTTTAAACCTCTTCTAATATATTTATATTTAAGAAATGGGAATCGGACGAGAAATTTGGATCTTTATTCTTGTACCACTCAGCCATCCCCACCCTTACTATTTTCTATTCTGAAAATCCATTTAATCCATTGATGCCGAATTTCCATATTGTATTGTATTTTAACAGTCCCATGTGGAATGGGTTATTATTATTTTTGTTTTCTGGATCAGTACTCTGGTTGAAAGCAGTACGCGATATTATGAAGTACCAAAGAACAATTCACATCGCTGGTTCAGCATTAGCTATAATTAATTTTAGGTTTGAGCTGAATTTTCCTTTTAGTCCATTTCTTGTTCTTTTGTATGCTTGCTTCGGTTAAAACGATTTTCACAAATATTTGTCTAATTTAAATCTCCTACCTATGTTTTTTCTACATTTTTATTTTTAAAGAGCTTCTAGCGAAGTTTAATGCTTTTTGGCTAAAATTAATAATAAAACTGCATTAATCAAGTTTGCTGAAAATTAAATGCTTTAACTTCTAAAATTGTGCCTAAAATATAAAGTGGTTAAGGGTTTACAATATTGTTTTTTAAAGCCTTTTATGTCTTTTAACTAATAAAAATATTAGCAGCTATATTTATTATATTCTCGGACTTAATTTAACTAATTAAGTGCTGTCATCATCTTTGAATAATTTTTTTAAAAAATGAAAGCAAGTCATTTTTCTTGAATTTCATTTCGTGCGAGCATACAAATAAATAAGATAAGAATATGCTTGTGACAAATGAATTAGTGGTGAAAATTAGGGGAGAAAGGCTAATCATGTCCAAAAGACTGTTTATCGTTAATTATTATGTAGTTAATTATGTAGTTGATTATACCCAGCTGAAAAATGAGCGATGCCGACACCACGCGATACCACACTGAAAAGCGTCGGTCTTCACATTCGAAATTTTCGAGATTCTTTTGGTTCAAAATTTTACGAAATTCCTTCGGGTTGAAACTCGTACGAAGAAAAAATGAATGAAATTATGGGTATTTTTTTCATTCATTATTTTTTTTTTTTATTCGGAATTAATTAATTCTTTATGTTGGGTGTAATTTGTTATTCAGGAATGTGTATGTAAGGCCACAACCGTTTGCTCTTGACATACAACGAGGAACGAATGTTTATTAGTTATGTAATGCGATCTGTTTGAATATTTCGTTGCTTCGTTTTTCATGTTCGTAATTAACCCAAATAAGGATCATGCACAATGCACTACATCTTTTGCAAGTTCTTCGGTACTTTTATATAAAAATTTTCGGAAGGAATATCTTTTCTTCTAATTTTTCCTCGATTTTCTAAGCCAAATTTGCTTACCAAGAAGGTACAAGTTGCAAAATTTTTACTATACAACACATTTTCCAACACATTTTCTAGATGAATATGAATATTTAGTTGTTTGCTATGCTTATTTACTTATAATATAATTAGTATAATAACGATTGTTAATTACTCTACTTTTGTAATGTTTTTTTGTGTTTCTTGCTTGTTCCGAATTTGAAGTTCCATTTTTTTTATTTGAAAAGTTAATCTCTTTGAAAAATTTGAAAAATTAAAATTAAAAATTAAAATTAAAAATTATCATCACTTTTTTTTGTTTTATCTGGCGCTATTTTCTTTGGATTGGTTTATATGTGAAGCGTTAGAAGTATTATTTGCTACTGGAACTGGAATTAAATTTCGGAATATTTTTATGGATTTAATGGTTATTTTTTATTTTATTTTCTTGCAAAGAAATGTGTTCAATGTTTTTGGAAAAATGTAGTAAGTATAAAATTTATATTCATGTAAAAAAACTTAAAAGAAAATAAACTATTATAAAAAGGAGAATTCTACGGAATGGTACTCATTTTTATAGATTTTAAATACATTTTGATCTACTATTTCTGCATTTTTGCTTTCATCCATGCATAACTTTCTTAAAATTCATTTTATTTATGGTTAAATTGAAATAAATGACAAAAAATGAAAAAATCATTCGAATCTCTTTTATATAAAAATTTTTTATTCAAAAATAAAAAGAAGCACATTATTATTAAAGAAGAAAAATCATTTGAATATGACATGTGATTTTTTCCCATTTGGTTGGCATATTTGACTTTTAACATCACCTTGGAAAAAGCAGGTTTGGTTTCTTTGATCCATATTACGAAACATAAATAAATAGATAGCTGTGGGTGCTAAAAGCAGGTTAATTTTTGGTGGTAGATTCTCTTAGTTCCGTAAGACCGTTTCTAAAAAATCGTGGAAAGTTCTTAGTTAGAAAGCAGATCTGGTAAATACATATCGGAAGCATATAGTAAGACATTTTCATTAGATAGCCATCGATTAAAATCGAAAAAATGTTGGAGTTTACCACACTTTCGTCCAGTCAAATCAGAGACATAATGGGGAATCATTTTCCTGGAAAATGAGTAATGGTGGCTATTATATGGTATAATACAATATTTTAGAGGATGATAATTGTAACTATTGAATTCAATAAGTTCCCTTTTTTTTATGGCCGTTTTTTGTTGTAGCACATGGATTGATAAATGAAGAAGTGATTATTCTGGTAATTTTTGAATTGTTGTCAAATTGACCGGATT